ACTTTTATGCCTACGGACAGAGCAAACTCGCAAACATACTGTTTACCCGAGAACTGGCCAAAAGGCTCCGCCACTCAAACATCAACACCTATTCACTGCATCCGGGAGTCATAAACACTAACCTGAGCCGACACGTGGACAACCCTGAGCTCCACGAGGGTAAGGGTCAGACAGACAGGGGTTGGTTTAGGCGTAACATTTTAATGACACCATTGATGGGCTCTCAGACCACACTCTATTGCGCTCTCGACGATGAACTCGCAAATGAGTCGGGATATTATTATAAGTAATTATTTAAATTTTTGTGTTTTGTATATTTTAGTTTATAAATTTAAAATTATGGTACATTTATTTATATAATTTTTTTGTTTAATTTTTTAATAGCAATTGTCTTCGCGACGATTATATGATACCCGAAGCCAATGACGATAAGACTGCCAAAAGTCTATGGGAATTGAGTTGCGATTTAGTTAAGCTTGAAAAACATCTCACAATTTGATTATTGTCATTTATTTCAATTAATTGGCATTGATATTTTTTTAAATATTATTATAAAAATATTAATTTACCTGATTGTATTAAAATGAATGTTTAGTAAGTGTGTAGAAAATAAATTTTTCAATTAAAAAATATGTTTATAATGTTTTAATTATAAATTTTTGATACTATCAATACATGAAATTATAATTATATATTTTAAACCAAATGTTTTGGTCAAAATATTATTACAGTATATTATGTAAGTTACTAACAACATCAATGTTATTTAATATTAAGAAATTTATATTTTGCTTAATTTTTAATTTGTTATAAATAAAATGACCTTGTATAAACTTATATAACTTAATTAAATTTTAATAGCTCTATTGTATTAATATACACTCAAGAATTATTACATTACATGTTAAATATTTTGTAAATACGAATTTGTTATATTGCAAAAATAATGTAAATTATTTATACTTTTTAATAACATCTTGGAAAATTATTTTTATAAAAATTATATAAAACTACTACATATATTTTTTAATTAACAATTCCGTATAATCATATTTTAACATAGAGTTAATGTTGTTTTACTAGTTAATCATATGTGATTAGTAATCACTGATTACTGTTAAGTAATTAACATCACTATTAAGGGCAACTGAAGACTTTTATACGTCAAAATGTTATGGCAATAATTATATATTAAATATATTGCATATTACAAATAATGGTTGACTGGTAAACTTTAATATCAAATACTGTACTTTGTACAATATGATATACTAAACTAACATATTAATGTTTAAATTAATACTTACCTACTATAAAAATTTAATCAATGGCCAATAGTATTTATTATATAATTCTTAATTATACATTTATATGTAATAAAACTGAACTTATTCTATAATACCATGACAATTTTTTAGTGCATTTATAGTGTATTCGACCTTCACGTGTGCGGTATTTGTATACAAATTAAAGTATATATAACATAGATATAGCAATATTGTGTATACAATTTCCTACACCTCTTTCATATGTAATACCGGATTTTTGTGTAGTCATATAAATACCATAATATTATTAATAAAACATTTGATATTGAATTTCAATTTTTATGTTTTACTACAATTATAAGATTGTTTATTCTTGTTAATTAACTATTAAGATCTCGTGTAATATTAGTTGATTATTTGATATAATATAAACAATGGGAATATTATATCACATTAGAATTACAACAATTTTGCGTACATTATGTTTAGTGTTACGCGAATATCTGTCAAACTTTATGGATTGGCGCCGACGGGTGACCAGTGCTAAGAAACTTAATGGACAGGTAGTTGTGGTGACCGGCGGTAACACTGGTATCGGTAAAGAGACTGCATATCAGCTCACCTTAAGAGAGGCTAAGGTATGGGAAAATTAATATGATTTATTTATTTAATTTTAATTATATTTCATGTTAGTTGTTTTTACTATGAGCTTAACTTTATATAACAATAGGTATACATCGGGTGTCGGGACCAGAAGAGAGGTGAGGCGGCCGTCAAAGACATCCTATCATTGAATCCAAAGGCAAACATAAAACTACTTTCGCTGGACTTGTCTTCACTCACATCTGTCCGCAAATGTGTGGAAGAGTTGTCGGGTTTGGAGACAAAAGTGGATATACTTATCAATAACGCCGGAGTCGCCGGTTGTCCGGAGTGGCAGACAGAAGATGGGTTTGAGATGCAATTTGGCACTAATCATCTAGGTATGTTAAATAATACTTTTTAACCACATTTAAAATAATATTTCTAACATATCAGATCTGCTTAGACCATTTTAGTGATATACATTTTGCCAATAATAAAAATTTAATGATTTATAAAATGTATAATTATTCAATATATCACGCTTTTTTAACGATGAGGTTCTTAAACAATCAAAGTGAAATTAATGTAAATTTTATAATAATTTAAAGGTGGTTTGATGTAATTACAAACGTCTGTACTAGGGTGACTATATTACAGACTCTGTACTCGTTATTTTATAAAATACACATTATAAAAATCGTATAAATGAATATAACAATTTAAATAATAAAATTTGTGTTTTAATTTTCAGGTCATTTTCTATTTACGCTTCATTTAATACCATTGCTAAGGAAAGCACCGGCGGGTCGTATAGTGACCGTTTCATCTGGTTTACATATTTGTAGCCCAATCCACCTTGATAATGTAAACCTACGAAACGGTGCATATCATCCGTTTTTCGCATACGCTCAGAGCAAACTCGCAAATGTGTTGTTCAGCCGGGAATTGGCCAAAAGGCTCCGCCACTCAAACATCAACACCTATTCACTGCATCCGGGAGTCATTAACACAGAGCTGGACAGACATATGGCTGATGAGACCAAACGGGCCAAAAGGGGTTGGTTTAGACGTAACTTTCGCATAACACCATTCCTCGGCTCTCAGACCACACTCTACTGCACTCTCGACGACGATATCGCTGATGAGACCGGATATTATTACGAGTAATTATTATTTTTTGTTATAATTAATTGTATTATACAGTATTTCTTAATTTATAATTTAAAATATGGATAATTTGTAAAAATAAAATTTTTGTTTGTTTTTTCATAGCAACTGTCGTCGTGTGGATCATATGATACCCGAAGCCAATGACGACAAGACTGCCAAAAGTCTGTGGGAATTGAGTTGTGATTTAGTTAAGCTCGAAAAACATTTAAGAATTTGATCATGGTTCTCTAATTAAAAGTATCACAGTGAATTGATGTATAATAACAACGATACGACTATTAATTATAAAATTTGATTATATTAAAATGTATTAATTTTGCATTTAGAGAATAAAATTTACAATTAGAAATATGTTTTACATGATTTATTGTAAAAATCATTTACAATGTTGTAACTACAATTGTATAAGGCTTGAGTTCAAATAACGCGAAAATATAGTAAGGTTTTGTTTGAATGGCTACCAAATGTAAATGGTATACATTTGTACATATATTTGTATGTTACCGAAACGATTCCAACAGCGTTTCATACATTCATTATTTCTCTTTAATTTTGCGTAAAAATAGATTTAAACATAGATATTATACATGTATTCTTATGTTATTCCTATATAAGATGAGTGTTAATATCATTTTCTACATTCAGCCCTTAATTGTAAAATTTATAAAACAAAAGTAGTGATCGAACTAGAAATCAATCATTATTATAACCCTCAGAACAGCAATTATAACCGGTAACACATTAAACGTCTGCCCAAATTATGACCAATAGTAGTCGATAATTATGGCCAATTTATAATTTGAAATAATATTTTGTTTTATAATAAAAATAATATTTTAAATTTTCAATAATATTTTTGCATTACTTAAACTCATGCCTTATATAATTAACAATATTTACACTATATTATAAGAAAATTGCTAACATGATAATAAATTGTAATAGTTATTTATAAAAATAATCGCTAATATAAAGTTCATTTATCAAAACAATGTCTACCTCTACAAATTCCTTTATTAAATAATTACTTATACAACTCATTGACAATATTTTAGTGCAATATTTTAGTGCAAAAGCCCTAAATCTGATCTAATGATTGAGAGTTTTTATACCGGTATTAAACCGGTTAGTGTACGCGCCCTTCAATAGTGCGAAAATGAGTGGTTATTACAGATTATCGTAAAGTATATAAAAGCATAAGAACTGTAATATTATTTGCAAAACTTGAGAAAATTGTTGCAAAGTCTATGTACTGTATATTCTGTGTATAGAAGTATCATAATATTTATTTCTATAATACATAGTAATTTGTTTCAATTTTGTTGTTATAGTATAAAGTTTATAGTTTAATATTAGTTATAATCTAATATAATATATAATTTGTGCAATCTATTTAATTTATAAAACAATGGGAATATTATACCACTTAAAATTAAGACACATTTGGCGAGCACTATTTATATTTCGACAATTTTTTACTAATTTCATTGGTTGGCGTAATAAAGTGACCAGCAGTAAAAACCTTAATGGACAGGTAGTTGTGGTGACCGGCGGTAACACCGGTATCGGTAAAGAGACTGCATATCAGCTCACATTAAGAGATGCAAAGGTATAAAAAAATATTTTTAAAAATATATAATTAAGTAAATAATTTTCCATTTTTATTATAAATTAAATTTTTCATTACAAAAGGTATACATCGGGTGTCGGGACCAGAAGAGAGGTGAGGCGGCCGTCAAAGACATCCTATCATTGAATCCAAAGGCAAACATTTCTCTACTTTCGCTGGACTTGTCTTCACTCACATCTGTCCGCAAATGTGTGGAAGAGTTGTCGGGTTTGGAGACAAAAGTCGATATACTTATCAATAACGCCGGAGTCGCCGGTTGTCCGGAGTGGCAGACAGAAGACGGGTTTGAGATGCAATTTGGCACTAATCATTTAGGTATGTTAAATTTCTATTGTTACGTAATAAATAGTCTGTTAAGTAATGTATAGTTATATAAACTTTATTACCATATTTTTGATAGTCAATCAGTCTAACTCGTCAGTATTTCTTTAAGTCTACAAGAATAATTTACATAAAAAATTTATTTTTTAGTGATTTTAAATTTATAAATTTTCCTTTATTTAAAATAATAAATATTATTATTGTAGATAAATATAATTATTGTAGATAAATATAATTATTGTAGATAAATATACTGTATATAACAAATAAAATATATTTAATATCTATATTTTTCATAACATTTAGGCAAAAATAATATTGTATGTTTATTAAATTAATTATTTCTTTGATATTAGTTAAATAATTGTTAAATTTATAATTTTTAGGTCATTTTCTATTTACACTACATTTGATACCATTGCTAAGGAAAGCACCGGCGGGTCGTATAGTGACCGTATCATCAGATATACACGAGTTCGGGAAAATACATTTGGAAAATATAAACCTCCGAAACGGTGCATATCATCCCATATTCTCATACGCTCAGAGCAAACTCGCAAATGTGTTGTTCAGCCGTGAATTGGCCAAAAGGCTCCGCCACTCAAACATCAACACCTATTCAGTACATCCGGGAGTCATAAACACAGAACTGGACCGACATATGAAACCCGATGAGACCAAACGTGAGGGCGTCAGCGGTTGGTTTAGGCGTAACCTTAACCTAACAGTATTCATGGGCTCTCAGACCACACTCTACTGCGCTCTCGACGATGAGATCGCTGATGAGACCGGATATTATTACGAGTAATTATTTGTTATTATAATTAATATGTTATTTAGTTCACAGTTTATGCGATAAAATATATTGAAATTATTTTTACATTTACTGTTTTTATTTTGTTTTTCATAGAGATTGTGTTCGTGTGGATCATATGATACCCGAAGCCAATGACGACAAGACTGCCAAAAGTCTGTGGGAATTGAGCTGTGATTTAGTTAAACTCGAACAGCATCTCAAAATTTAATTATGATGATTTATGTAAAACTATTGTAGTAGATATGATGACATTTATAAAACTCAATCTATGTATTATTTTCTCGGTGAATTAATATTCAAAATAAATAAATTAAATTAAATTGTGAGGAAATGCATGTTTTAGACAAACTAAAAGACATTAATTAATTTTATTTTAAAAAATTAATATTGTTGCAAACATTTTTCAAATATTTTTAATGCAAAATGTTTAAATAAATTTATTCTTTGACATTTTAAAATTATAAATATTATTAATTTTATTGATTGTAATACAGTAATAATAATATTGTAGTAATAGGGCTTAGAATTGTAGTAATTTACACTTTGTGTAAAATAACTGCAAATTTAGTTGTTTAAATTCTATAGAAATAATATCATAATCTAGAATAAATTATTTAGTATATTAAAATTATAAATAATTAACATTAGTTATAAAATTAAGTAAACAATAATATAGTGGGAACAAATTACAAAAAATTTAAGTAAATTTTTCATAGAATATTCTGGAAAGTGATGTCAGGTTATGTTGTAATGCATTGAAACAACATTTTAATGATTTAATTACAAAAATGAAATGTCATATAAATGTAAAAATATCATTACTTTCACATTTTAAATTATTAAGCAAAACCTTAATTAATATTACAGTAACGGCGATATAAATATGTTAATTTTATTTGATTAGCATAAAATTAAAAACCATTTTGAAATCCGTTGTAATTAACACTTTCGTATATAAAACTTTCTTTTGAATAGCAATTTAAAAACTATATAAACAATATCTCAATAATTATTTTACCCAACATTATTTTTTTTATAAAAGACATAAGATAAAAATTGGTTATAGTAACTTACAACTAATTCACTAAACAATGGGAATTTTATATCATTTTAAATTAAAATTCATTTGGCGTTTAATATGTGTTATGTTCTATCATTTTACTACTAATTTCATTGGTTGGCGTAATAAAGTAACCAGTAGTAAAAACCTAAATGGACAGGTAGTTGTGGTGACCGGCGGTAACAAAGGTCTTGGAAAAGAGACTGCATATCAGCTCACACTTAGAGATGCAAAGGTATTGGACATTTAATTATTAATATTTATTTATTTATTTTTATATAACACTTGATAAATAATAGCGTATTTATAATAATAGGTACAAATAAAAATATTTATCGTAAAACACAATGTTTTATATATTTATTGTTAATAATAAAAGGTATACATCGGGTGTCGGGACCAGACGAGAGGTGAGGCGGCCGTCAAAGACATCCTATCATTGAATCCAAAGGCAAACATAAAACTACTTTCGCTGGACTTGTCTTCACTCACATCTGTCCGCAAATGTGTGGAAGAGTTGTCGGGTTTGGAGACAAAAGTGGATATACTTATCAATAACGCCTGCGTTAACGCTGGCTATCCTGAGTGCCAGACGGAGGATGGGTTTGAGATTAAGTTTGGGACTAACCACCTTGGTATGTTAAATTATTTGTTACTACTGTGGAGTGATAAGCTAAATATTCAATACAAACCTAATTTTACATGTTATGTTAATCCTATGCCATCACTAAATATTAAAGAATATTAAAATTATAATAATGAATTTAATAAAATTACAATTTAATTTTTTAAATTACAGGTCATTTTCTATTCACTCTACATTTGATACCAATGTTAAAGAAAGCACCGGCAGCTCGTATAATAACTGTAACGTCAGGCTTATACCTAGTTGGCCAAATCCACCTTGATAATGTAAACCTCCGAAATGGTACATACCATCCCTTTTTCGCTTACGCTCAGAGCAAACTCGCAAATGTGTTGTTCAGCCGTGAATTGGCCAAAAGGCTCCGCCACTCAAACATCAACACATATTGTTTGGATCCGGGAGTGGCAGACACTGACCTGAGCCGACACGTGGGCACGTCTGAGGCCCGGGAGTGGTCGGCATTGACCGAGACGGGTTGGTTTAAGCGGAACTTTTTTACAACACCATTCCTGGGATCTCAGACCACACTCTACTGCGCTCTCGACGATGATATCGCTGATGAAACCGGATATTATTACGAGTAATTTGTGTTAAAATTATTTATAAATTATAAGTAAATTAAATTTTATATTTATAGCAACTGTCGTCGTGTGGATCATATGATACCCGAAGCCAATGACGATAAGACTGCCAAAAGTCTGTGGGAATTGAGCTGTGATTTGGTTAAACTCGAACAGCATCTCAGAATCTGATTAGGGTGTATAACTATTTATGTATAAGTATTATAGATATGGTGAGATTTAAAACCTCAATTTATGTATTATTTTCTCGGTAAATTAGTATGCATGATTTTGAAAATTTAGTAAATTATTATATAAATAATTATTTATAAAATTTATTTTATTTATCAAAAATTAGTTATAAAACTTATTTTATTTATACAGTAAAAGATTTTTCTAGAAATTAATACATTAATACACTGAAAATAAGTTGTTTAGTCGTTAAAATATAATGTCAAACAACTTATTTTAATTTTATTAATGCATAATTTCTAGAAAAATCTTTTACTTATTGAAACTAATAGTCATGAATAAAATCAATAATAATAATCACATACACTATTAGCTGATAGACATGCCATGCAATCAAACAATACATGTCCCTTATTACAGTTCCGTCTCATAAATACACACTTTTATATGCAATTCAATGGCAATTGTTTAGTGCTTTTCAAGTCTATGTATACTACGGATGGTTTGAGAGAGACTTTGATTTATGCCCTTATTCTACGTGTCCTTCACTTAAAGTGCATAATAAACCGTTAATTTCATGTTCTCTTATATTAGGCAAACTCACTGTACAATCAGTTATATTATGTACACAATTGCTGCGATCAATTCATAATACGTTTCAATCTGTATATTTATATACAGATATCATAGCATTTATCGCCCAAACACTCAACAATTTGTTTCAATTTTTATATTTTTATATTACGTTTGAACAGAATATACAATAAAGTGTAATATTAGTGAAAATACTTAATATAATACAGTATATAATTATTAATAAGAAATTCATTAAACAATGGGCATTTTAAATCATTTAAGATTAAAATACATTTGGCGTTTCATTTGTGTTATATTTTATGAATTTACTACTAATTTCATTGGTTGGCGTAATAAAGTGACCAGCAGTAAAAACCTTAATGGACAGGTAGTTGTGGTGACCGGCGCTAACACTGGTATTGGCAAAGAGACTGCATATCAGCTCACACTCAGAGATGCAAAAGTATTGGAAATTTAATTATTAATATTTATTTATTTTAATACAACACTTGATAAATAATAGCGTATTTATAATTATAAATACAAATAAAAAATTTGCACTTATTTTATTGTAAAATACAGTGTTTTATATGTTTATTGTTTATATTTAAAAAAGGTGTATATCTTGTGTCGAGACCAGAAGAAAGGAAAAGCGGCCGTAAAAGACATTCAATCATTGAATCCAAAGGCAAATATAAAACTACTTTCGCTGGACTTGTCTTCACTCAAATCTGTCCGCAAATGTGTGGAAGAGTTGTCGGGTTTGGAGACAAAAGTTGATATACTTATCAATAACGCAGGAGTTATGGCCTGTCCTGAGTGGCAGACGGAGGATGGGTTTGAGATGCAGTTTGGGACTAACCACCTTGGTATGTTAACTTATATTTTACCATTTGTAATTGTACAATATTTATAAATAATATTATCATAATTAATTTAATAAAATTACAATTTATAAATTACAGGTCATTTCCTATTCACTCTGCATTTGATACCATTGCTAAAGAAAGCACCGGCGGGTCGTATAGTGAATGTCTCGTCGACTGGACACCAATTTGGCCAAATTAACCTACAAAATATAAACCTACGAAACGGTGCGTATCATAACTTTTTTGCTTACGGACAGAGCAAACTCGCAAATGTGTTGTTCAGCCGTGAATTGGCCAAAAGGCTCCGACACTCAAACATCAATACCTATAGCCTAAACCCCGGGGCCATTGACACTGATCTGCAAAGACATGTCGACCCATCGGCCGCTACGGCTACCGATAAGAGTTGGTTTAGGCGTAACTTTTTTATGACACCATTTATGGGATCTCAGACTACACTCTATTGTGCTCTCGACGATGAACTCGCAGATCAGACGGGATATTATTACGAGTAATTAGTGTTAAATTTTTTTATTAATTATAAGTAAATTACATTTTATATTTATAGCAACTGTCGTCGTGTGGATCATATGATACCCGAAGCCAATGACGACAAGACTGCCAAAAGTCTGTGGGAATTGAGCTGTGATTTGGTTAAACTCGAGGAACATTTAAAAATTTAATTATTGCCAATTATTTCAAAAAAAACTATAATGGAATTTTTCAATAAATATTAAGATATACTTAACCGATAATAAGTTGTTTTAGTAATGTTAGTTTTCTAATTAAAAATTAATGTTTCAATGAAGGACAATATTTTACGCTTATTAAATCGTACGTTGTTAAATTTAACTAATTTTAAAATTATATTCTAACAATTTTACAGCTTATACAAATATGCCACTTTATTATATAATGGTTGTATTATTTAATTACTAATCGCATAACTAATAATAAAAAAGTAATAATTTTAAATAAAAAATCGTACACTGAGTAATAACGAATTGGCTTAAAATTCATATGCTAGTTTAACGTATTTGCGCCCAATAGATTTAATGATGACCAAATTAACCCAGGTTAATTCTCAAAATTCTTTTTAAAAAGTTATTTAAAAAATAAAAAGATAGCTATTAACCTTGGTATAACTTCGATAAAAGAACACTTCGAATAACTTCGTTGCCTCTGTCGAAACATGTTTGGCTGAGAAACTAATTTATAGGAGGGCTCAGGTGTCAGCACTAGTAGGCGAGTCGACATTTCAGATGAATGCTTTGATACAGACATAGATATGTTGAGTGTGTGTTAGGTCTAGCGTTTGCGCACACAAGACAATTACATGTATGACTTTGATGTCTGCTTGTGGACACATTTTTAATGCATTGCATGGTATGGCCTGTCTGT